AGTGAATAAGGTAATACAATACGAACTGTGGAACTTTTCATAGAAATAGCCATGGTTACAGCATTAAACAGGCAAAAAATAGGGTATGCAAAATATCCCAGCCTGTTTTTTGAGACTACAGACATCCCTTCACATTTGGAGTTTTGACTTTTGTGGATTTGATTATTCACAGATATGATTAAAATTGTTCTCTCTAAAAATCTCCAGTGTGACTCTATGGTCAATTTCCTTCAGTCATGGAGGAGGAAATAGAGCTGGCATAGGCAAACTGGGCCCTCCCGGTGTTTTGGACTTCAATTCCCACAATTCCAAACAGCCTCAGGCCCCTTCCTTTTCCCCTTCAACCACTTAAGCGGCTTAAGGGGGAAAGAAAAGGGCCTGAGGCTGTTAGGAATTGTGGGAGTTGAAGTCCAAAACACCGGGAGGGTGAAGTTTGCCCATGCCTGAACTAGAAAGATCTAGAGAGTGCTTCTCTTGGAACCTTTAGGTTCTCCAATGCGATTCTGTGTTCAGTTTCCAGTAGAAAGTTGATCACAGAGCTGTGTTGGAGGTCTCAGAAATTCCTAAATGTTCTCTCAGGTTAGAAAATATTCGCAGTTTCTATATTTGCGGTTTTTCCACTTTCTCTTGTTAGGGTATCTTCCACAAATCCTTCTCCTTCGAATTTCCAAATTCAAGGCAGGCAAAATATAACTGAAAGGTGTTGTCAAAGGATTTCATGGCCGGAATCACTGGGTTGCTGTGAGTTTTCTGGGCTGTACAGCAATGATCCAGAAGCATTCTCTCCTGATGTTTCACCCACATCTATGGCAGGCATCCTCAGAGTTTGTGAGGTCTCTTGGAAACTAGGCAAGTGAGGTTTACCATATATATCTTTGGAATGTCCTGGGTGAGGGAAAGAACTCTTGTCTGCTTAAGGCAACTGTGAATGTTGCAGTTGGCCAACTTGATTTGCATTCAATAGCCTTGCAGCTTCAAAGCCTGGCTGGTTGCTGCCTGGGGGGGAGCCTATGGAAGCCAGAACTCATCGCAATTAGCCATTGTCAGGGACACAAGATGATGGAAAGGTATTGATTGGGAACAGAAATGCAGATGCCATCACCTGATGGATAACTAGTGAAAAGCCTGAAAGTACAGACAGAAAAGAGAATATGATAGTTCCAGACACTGAACCACAACTGTGTGCATTGATCTCAATGGAAGAGAAGGATGACTTTGCACCACTTTATGAACAGGAAGACCAACTTCCACCTGAAGGACACTGCTACAATGGCTGATGGTTCATGCCAGATGATCGTATTTGTCTACCTAAAAACATCTGGTGACCCCTGATGTTTTTCCCAATAAAGGATTCCCCCCAGGCAGCAACCAGCCAGGCTTTGAAGCTGCAAGGCCATTAAATACTAATCAAACTGGCCAATTGCAATATTCACAACTGCCTGAAGGAGACAAGAGTTCTTTCTCCCACCCTGAACATTCCACAGATATATAAACTTTACTTGCCTAGTTACCAACAGACCTCACAACCTCTGGAGATGTTTGCCATAGATGTGGACAAAACGTCAGGAGGGAATGCTTCAGGAACATGCCCATACAGCCTAGAAAACTCACAGCAACCCTATAACTGAAATGCTTTTCTCTCTATGAACTATCTGTGAAAAGAAACTTCAGAGGTGAAAATGTAATTATTTAACAGTGAGGAAAGAAAACATGATGTATGTGACATTTTTAGATTAAGAGAACCAGGAATATGAAAAGTAGTGTGTCTAAATATGAACTATCTATCTATAATCTTTCTCTCTTTATATTTAGCTTGAAGGTATGAAAGTCACATTTTGACATCATGCTTTTTATTTTCCGGATTCTGTTTTGCTACAAAGAATGAGCAGGATATCTATGTCTTCAACAAAACTACAATTTGGATTGTCGACAAGTGTCCCTGATTCACCTCAATACTCCAAACCAGTAGTTCCCAAACTTTGGTCCTCCAGACATTTCGGACTTCAACTCCAAGAAGCCCTAGCCAGTTTGGCCAAAAGTCAGGAATCACGGGAGCTGAAGTCCAAAAAATCAAGAGGACCAAATGTTGGGAAATTCTCTATACTAGGGCATGCTCATTAAACATGACAGGCATTTAATGAAATGTTTTTCAAAGCATTTTGCAACAACCTGCTGAGATCAGCACTTTCGTGTCCGAAGCCCCATCTATATTGGCATATAATATATTGACAAGCTGGAAAGTGTCCAGAGGAGGGCGACTAAGATGATCAAGGGTCTGGAGAACAAGCCCTATGAGGAGCGGCTTAAAGAGCTGGGCATGTTTAGCCTGAAGAAGAGAAGGCTGAGAGGAGACAAGATAGCCATGTATAAATATGTGAGTGGAAGTCATAGGGAGGAGGGAGCAAGCTTGTTTTCTGCTGTTCTGGAGACTAGAACGCGGAACAATGGCTTCAAACTACAAGAAAGTAGATTCCATCTGAGCATTAGGAAGAACTTCCTGACTGTGAGAGCTGTTCAGCAGTGGAACTCTCTGTCCCGGAGTGTGGTGGAGGCTCCTTCTTTGGAAGCTTTTAAACAGAGGCTGGATGACCATCTGTCAAGGGTGCTTTGAATCCTTGTGTTTCTTAATATGTTGTGTTTTTATTGCTGATATGTTATTTCTAATGGTTTCGTATTGTATGTTTTATTTTTTGGTTTATATTATTGTTGTGTTGGTTTATACTGATGTATTGTTCGGGCTTGGCCTTATGCTTGGTCCTTGGGGAGATGGTGGCGGGGTATAAATAAAGTTATTATCATTATTATTATTTGAAGGCAATTATCCTGCTTCTTGGCAGGGGGTTGGACTGGATGGCCCATGAGGTCTCTTCCAACTCTATGATTCTAATGTGGAGGCTCCTTCTTTTAAACAGAGGCTGGGGATGGCCATCTGCTGGGAGTGCTTTGAAAGCGATTTTCCTGCTTCTTGGCAAGGGGTTGGACTGGATGGCCCATGAGGAACTCTCTGCCTCGGAGTGTGGTAGAGGCTCCTTCCTTGGAGGTTTTTAAACAGAGGCTGGATGGCCATCTGTTGGGGGTGCTTTGAATGTGATCTTCCTGCTTCTTGGCAGGGGGTTGGACTGGATGGCCCATGAGGTCTCTTGCAACTCTTTGATTCTATGATTCTATGATCAGGGCCAGCAGTCTGGGTGTGCTTTGAACTCGATTGTCCTGCTTCTTGGGGGGTTGGACTGGATGGCCCATGAGGTCTCTTCCAACTCTATGATTCTATGACAATCCCACACCAGCAATACATGGAGCGAGAGTTGCCAGATGTTCAAGCTGGGTTTAGAAAAGGTAGAGGAACGAGAGACCAAATTGCCAATATCCGCTGGAAAATGGAGAAAGGCAGGGAGTTTCAGAAAAACATCTACTTCTGCTTCATTGACTATTCTAAAGCCTTTGACTGTGTGGATCATAATAAATTGTGGCAAGTTCTTGGTGGTATGGGGATACCAAGTCACCTTGTCTCTCTCCTGAGGAATCTGTACAAGGACCAAGTAGCAACAGTCAGGAACTGACCATGGAACAACAGACTGGTTCAAGATTGGGAAAGGCGTACGGCAAGGCTGCATCCTCTCACCCAACCTTTTTAACTTGTATGCAGAACACATCATGCGATGTGCGGGGCTGGATGAATGCAAAGCTGGGGTGGAAATGGCTGGAAGAAACATTAACAACCTCAGATATGCAGATGACACCACTCTGATGGCCGAAAGCGAGGAGGAGCTGAGGAGCCTTCTAATCAAGGTGAAAGAAGAAAGCGCAAAAGCCGGGTTGCAGCTAAACGTCAAAAAAAACCAAGATTATGGCAACAAGAATGATTGACAACTGGAAAATAGAGGGAGAAACCGTGGAGGCCGTGACAGACTTTGTATTTCTAGGTGCAAAGATTACTGCAGATGCAGACTGTGGCCAGGAAATCAGAAGACGCTTACTTCTTGGGAGGAGAGCAATGTCCAATCTCGATAAAATAGTAAAGAGTAGAGACATCACACTGGCAACAAAGATCCGCATAGTCAAAGCCATGGTATTCCCTGTAGTCACCTACGGATGTGAGAGCTGGACCTTAGGGAAGGCTGAGCGAAGGAAGATCGATGCTTTTGAGCTGTGGTGTTGGAGGAAAGTGCTGAGAGTGCCTTGGACTGCGAGAAGATCCAACCAGTCCGTCCTCCAGGAAATAAAGCCCGACTGCTCATTGGAGGGAAGATACTAGAGACAAAGTTGAAGTCCTTTGGCCACATCATGAGGAGACAGGAAAGCCTAGAGAAGACAAATATGCTGGGGAAAGTGGAAGGCAAAAGGAAGAGGGGCCGACCAAGGGCAAGATGGATGGATGGCATCCTTGAAGTGACTGGACTGACCTTGAGGGAGCTGGGGGTGGTAACGGCCGACAGGGATCTCTGGCGTGGGCTGGTCCATGAGGTCACGAAGAGTCGGAGACGACTGAACGAATGAACAGCAGCATGTAGTCCCAAGCTGCGTTATATGGCAGTGTAGCTGGGATCCAAGTCAGCCGGATCAGATCAATTTCTCGCCGGCATTTCGGAAACGCGTTAACAGCCCCTGCAAGCCGCCATAGAAAAAGGAATCCCGGCGGCTCAAAAGGGAATCCCCCTACGCCGCAGCCAATAGGCGAACGTATGCAAAACAGGGCAACCCCGCGCCGGCGCTGCCCAATGAAAACCCTGGAAAGTGCGGAATCCTCTCGCAATTGGGCAGCAGCGGGACCAATGAGGGCGCGCGGCGGAGCTGGCGCGGCGGAGGGGCCGGGCTATGCAAATCCGGTTTGAAAAGCGGGCGGGAAATCCGAGTTTCGCGGCAGGCAGGCTTCTTGGCGCGTAACCCGCTCGCTTTCCCTTCCTTCATTGTCAGCCGCGGCGGCGGCGGCGTCTTCCTGGAGCCATTTTCCCAGCCGGCCCCAGAGCGCGGGAGGCAGGCCTGCGCTGCATCCGCCGCATCTGCGGGCCATGAGGGCCCCTCGCCCCGAGCGGCGCCGCCTCCTGACGCCGGGCACCCCCCTTGCCCCGCCGCCGGGACCATTTTGAGCCGGCGAGGGCGCTGTGCCCGAGAGGCCCCGAGGCCTGGGGAAGAGGGGCGGGGGAAGAGGGGAAGCCAAGGCAAGGCAAGGCAAGGCAGGGGTGGGAGGAGACTCGGCTTCGGGTGCAGCCGGGGCCCGAAAGGAGGCGATGCTGCGGCGGCGGGGGCGCCTCCTCCTCGCAGCCTCGCCGCCCATGGAGCCCGCCGCAGCTGCCGCCCTCGCCTTCCCCGGCGCCTTCATCCGGATCCACAGCAGCCCCGGCCCGCCTTGGCTGGCCTCTTCCTTCCCGGGCTTGAGCGAAGGGGGAGCCGACTCCCCGTCTCCCTCCTCCTCCTCCTCCTCCTCGTGCTGCACCCCGCACGGGCCTGGCTTCCCCTCCGCAGCCGAAAGCGGGGCCCGCTCCTCGGTAATCCCTCCTCTGCTCGTTCATAGCGGGAAAGAAGGGGGTGGGGTGGGTATATACATATAGTCCCCTCCATGGTTAGACTGGATGGCCTTTGGGGGTCTCTCCAGAACCCCAATCTGTGAACGCTTTGCTCTAAAGAAGGGGGTTCGTCGCACATTTCCGGGAAAGGGGGGGGGCATTTTTTGAGGGAGGGGGCGTGACGTGGGCTTTTTTTTTTTTAGGCCGCCCTTGTGTCAAGTTCCCAAAGGGGTGAAGAACAAAGAAAAGAAGGGGTTCGGCTCCCAAACTTCCGTGGCCTCCTTCCCTTTTCCGGTGCTTTCTTAAAGGAGAGTAGAAAGAGGAAAAAATAGATAATATAGGCTTTATAAAGTCCCAAGGTCAGGGGTTAGCTTAGTTTATGATTGGATTGATATGGGGAGAAGAAAGACTGGGGGTCGAAATACCCCCCCCCCCAAAAGAAATTCCTTTTATGTGGCTGTACACACGTGCATTGCTGTGGAGCTCCCATTTGTGTGTGTGGCCCCCAAACTTCCTTGGCCTCCCATCCAGGAGGAAGAAGGGTGTTTATTGTGGGTTTGGAGGGGACAAACTTGGGGGTGCCATATTGGAATGACAAAGGCCTGTGTGTAGATGTAGGGGGTATATACACGTGTATTGCTGTTCAGCTCCCATCTGTGTGTATGTGTGGCCCCCAAAGTGCTTTGGCCACCCATCCAGAAGGAAGAGGGGTGTTTACTGTGGGGTTTAGGGAGGGAGCAAACTTGGAGGTGCCATATTGGAATAATAAAGAAGCCTATGAGTAGTGAAAGCACCCATATATAAATAGATAGATATATGAACAGATATATACATGTATTGCTGTTGAGCTTCCATCTCTCTCTCTCTGTCTGTGGCCCCCAAACTTCCTTGGCCTCCTATCCAAGAGGAAGAGGGGTATTTACTGTGGGGCAAACTTGGGGGGTCCCTTATTGGAAGAACAAAGAATGAGGCTGGTGGGTAGTGAAAGCCCCCTATATATATAGGGGGGTATATACACGTGTATTGCTGTTTAGCTCCCATCTTTGTGCACGTGTGGCCCCCAAACTTCTTTGGCCTCCCATCCAGGTGGAACAGGAATGTTTTCTTGTGTTTATGGGGGGAGGGGGGCAAACTTGGCCTCTTTGTCCTTATTGGAAGGACAAAGAGGCCTATGGGTAGTGAAGCCCCCCCCCAATAGATAGATGTGGGGGTATATACACGTGTATTGCTGTAGAGTTCCCATCTGTGTGTATGTGTGGCCTTCAAACTTCTTTGGCCTCCCATCCAAAAGGAAGAGAGGTTTTACTGTGGTGTTTATTGTGTGGCAAACTTGGGGGTGCCTTATTGGAAGGACAAAGAGTCCTGTGGGTAGTGAAGGCCCCCCTATAGATAGAGATGTGGGGGGGTATATACACGTGTGTTTCTGTTGAGCTCCCATCACTCTCTGTGTGGCCCCCCAAACTTCCTTGGCCTCCCATCCAGGAGGAAAAGTGTTTATTGTGTGGCAAACTTGTGGGGTGCCTTATTGGAAGGACAAAGAGTCCTGTGGGTAGTGAAGGCCCTCCTATAGATAGATAGAGTTGTGGGGGATATATACACGTGTGTTTCTGTTGAGTTCCCATCTCTCTCTATGGCCCCCCAAACTTCCTTGGCCTCCCATCCAAGAGGAAAAGTGGTGTTTACTGTGTGGCAAACTTGTGGGGTGCCTTATTGGAAGGACAAAGAGGGGAATGAGTAGTGAAAGCCCCCATATATAGAGAGGTAGGAGTATACACGTGTGTTGGGGTGGGGGTTCACAGAGAGTTGTGTGTGGATTCACAGGTCAGGCGCTTTCTTCTTTTCCAGGCCTGGAGAGGGAAGGAAGGGGTTTGGGGAGGCTCTTCTCCCCCTCCTCTGTGGGGGGCAAACTTGGGGGTGCCTTATTGGAAGGACAAAGGGGCCAATGAGTAGTGAAAACCCCCCATATGTAGATAAAGATGTGGGGGTTCACATAGATTTGTGTGTGGGTTCCTGTGCCTGGCGCGTCCCTGCTCCTCCAGGCCTCGAGGGAAGAAGGGGGCCAGGGAGGAAGCGAGGAAGGGTCCTGGGGAGGCCCTTGCCCTCCTCCTCCTCTTCCTCCTCTTCTTCCTCGGTCTCTGAGCCTTCAGCCTCGGCGGCGGTGACGTTTGGCACACGTGCGCCCAGGCCGCGCCTCTGACTGGGAGCCCGGCGAAGGAGGGAAGGGAAAGGAAGGAGAGGAGAGGAAAGGGAAGGAAGGGGGGCGGGCGCCTATCCGAGCCAGCCGGGGAAGGGGAGGCACTGGGTCCTCTTCCTCCTCCTCCCTCCCTCCCTTGGCCTGGCCCCATAGAGAAGGGTCAACACTCCACAGCCTCCCAACAGGAAGACCTTCCCCAACTCTGGTGTTAGGAGGAGGCTTTGGAAATGCCCCTCCAGCAGGTAGGCAGTGGGGTAGCTCTGTGAGGGGGGGGGGGTCTTTATATATATATGTATACATATATATGTACATTACACAGCAATAATATGTATATTATCTCCCCCACACATTTTGGCCCACCCCTTTCCCCCTCAATTCCAAGCTGTGAGACCCCCAAAGTCTCCCCTCAAGGGATATTCTCCAACTCTATTCCCCCCTCCCCTTTTAACCCTATAATAATTTTCCCTTGTCTTGACTTTGGGACCTTTTTTTGCCACAAAACTTGAGGCTGAACTGCTTCAGGCCACTCTTTACTTTTGGGAACTCCCTTCAGGGCTTGCCTTATGGGGTCAGGTTGGGTTTCCCTCTTTTCTGCATGTTTCCAACCTTAGTTGTAACATCTCTTCCATAAAGAATTTTTTTTCTGTTGTTTTGTATTTTATTTTACTGTATTGTCTTTTTGGGCTTGGCCTCCTGTGAGCTGCCCTGAGTCCCCTTTGGGGAGATGGTGGCAGGGTATAAATAAAGTTTATTATAATAATAATAAAGTTTATAATAATAATAAATCCAGCATATAGATCTCGTTTGCTGTGACATACTGTGCAAATAATAGCTATTATTGATACAAAAGCACAGTATGTCACAGCAAACGAGATCTATATGCTGGATTTTATATCACAAAATCACAAGTTGAACACTTCCCAAGCATCTAGGACTGTGTGATGTTTTTTCAAATGATGCGTGCAGATCCAAGTAAAGTGGCCTTTTGCAGTTGACAGATCGTGGTTTTGTTGATGTTTATTGTTTCCAAATGCCAACTGAGATTATTATAACTATTATTATTATAAAGGGGGCTACTGTGAGGGAAGCAGAGTTATGTGTGTGTGTGTGTGTGTGTTGTTTTTGTCATTGGGACCAGGCCCAAGAACTGTGGGTGCATGGAGACTCCTGGATAATTAAGTTACTGCACCCTCCCTGCCTGTCTTGAAGAAGTTTTTCCTGGAGGCCTTTTTCCCCCTCTACCTGCTTGTTATAACAAATGTGGCTGTTGGAAGAGTTGTTAGGTATGTCAGAAACAAAATTGAGTTTGGAGAACAAGGGGGTCTAAGGAGAGTTGGGAACAAAGCTGTCTACCCCCCTCCCCTGGGGCTTTTCTCTCTGTGTAAAGCAGGCATGGGCAAACTTGGGCCCTCCGGGTGTTTTGGACTTCAACTCCCATCATTCCTAACAGCCTCAGGCCCCTTCCTTTCCCCCCTCAGCCGCTTAAGCTTAAGGGGTCTGAGGCTGTTAGGAATGATGGGAGTTGAAGTCCAAAACACCCGGAGGGTCCACAAGTTTGCCCATGCCTGGTCTAAAGGGATATCAGTTTACAGAATAGGGGCCCTCCCAAACAGTTCCTATACCCCATGATCCAATCCCAGGTTTTCTGTTCATCCCAGACAATCTGTCAGTGTGGACTCATATAATCCAGTTTAAAGCAGAAAACCTGGGATCAGATCCCTGGGGTATAGGGCCTGTCTGGAAGGGCCCTAGGACACAGAAAAAAGGAGAAGCTAGGTGTGGTCCTGAAGTCTTAGCAGCCCTTAATCAGAAGGCTTTTCTGATATCGTCCTTCTGAATGTTGCAGCCCTTTCATGGGTACAGGGGAGAAATAATTCAGATATGTTGCATCCTATCCGACATAGCATATGTTATCTATATACATATTTCTCTCTATCAGTGTTTGGGTCCCCAAATGTTTTGACCTTCAACTCCCAGCAATCCTAACAGCTGGTAAACTGGCTGGGATTTCTGGGAGTTGTGGGCCAAAACATCTGGGGACCCACATGTTGAGAACCACTGCTCTCTATACAGACAATCCCCGAGTAACAGACCTCCAACTTACAAATGACTCACAGTTAAGAACAAGAGTGAGACAACAGGAAGTGAGAGAAAACTACCCCTTGGAACACTGGTTCTCAACCTGTTGGCCTACAACTCCCAGAAATCCCATCCACTTTACCAGCTGTTAGGATTTCTGGGAGCTGAAGGCCCAAACATCTGGGGACCCACAGGTTGAGAACCACTGCCTTACAAGGGAAATTTATTCCTGGAAGAAATATCATGGGGAAAAGGGGTCTCCACTGAAGCTTTCTCACCAGTCATTGTTTCCACAACAAGCCACATTTTTCAAAACCCAATGACTACAGGGACAGAAAGTGAGGTGAAATCTCAACAGGGGCACAGACAGCAAAACAACCCCCACAGGGGTGTTCACCTTTCTTTTAGCTATGCAAAGCTTTTATATGTGTGTGTGTGTGTAAAGGTAGTAAAGGTTTCTCCTTGACATTAAGTCAAGTTGTGTCCGACTCTGGGGGGTGGTGCTCATCTCCATTTCTAAGACGAAGAGTTGGTGTTGTCCATAGACTCCTCCTAGGTCATGCAACCAGCATGACTGCATGGAACGCCATTACCTTCCTGCCGAAGTGATACCTGTTGATTTACTCACATTTGCATGTTTTTGAACTGCTAGGTTGGTAGGAGCTGGGGCTAACAGTGGGAGCTCACCCTGTCCATGGATTTGAACTGC